AAAGAGAAGACAGAAATTAGTAAAATTAGAGATAAGTCAAGGGTAATAACTATCTCCACTTCTATTCAATGTAGTACAAGAATAATGTATGGCTGGGCATGGTGGCACACACCTTTAATCCCAGCACTCAGGAGGCAGAGGCAGGCAAATCTTTGTGAGTTCAAGACCAGCCTGGTCTCCATAGCAAATCCAGGCCAGCTAGGGCTACAGAGAGACCCTGTCTCAAAAAAAAAAAAAAAAAAAAAAAAAGAATGTAAGGGAAAGAAACGAAAGGGCTACAAATATTAAAGAAGAGTCAAGTTATTCCTATTTGCAGAAGATATGATCCTATACTTAGATCTGATACTCTCTGAAAACTAGCAGATATAAAATTCTGCAACTTTTCTATTTAACAATAGTGAACTTACCAAGAATAAATCAGCAAAACCCCTCATTCACAATAACTTAAAAAATAATGAAACAGTAACAATAAACACCAAGCATGAATTTGCCCAAGGAAATGAACAATAATTGTGAAAGCTTTAAAATACTATAGAAAAAAATTGAAGACCCTAGAAGATGTAAAGCCACCCCCCGCCCCAGTTCTCAAGGACCAACAGAGTTACTATAGTGAAAATGGTCATATTACCAAAAGCAGCCTCTAGGTTCAAGGTAATCGCCATGAAAACTGAATAGCAGGGCTGACAAAATGGCTCAAGAAGTAAAGGCTCTTGCTGCCAAGGCTGATAACCTAAGTTTGATCTCCAGGATCCATATGGTAGAAAGAACTGACTCTTGCGAATTGTCCTTTGATCTCCACATGTGAGCTGTGTTAGTGCCCATGCACATACATGTGTACACACAAATGTGTACACACACAGTTTTTTTAAAAACTTTAAAAAAATAAAGGGGCTGGAGAGATGGCTCAGTGGTTAACAGCACTGGCTGTTCTTGTAGAGGACCTGGGTTTGGTTCCCAGCACCCACATGGCAGCTAATAACTGTCTAACTCCACAGGCACTGGTGGACTTATATACAGCAAAACATTCATATACATAAAAATAAAAAAGAAAATCCCAATAGCATTGTTCATAGTAGAAAAAAAAATCCTAAAGTTCATGTAAAGTACAAAAGACTCTGAACACCTTAACTATTCCTAAGCAGAAAGCACAATTCTGCACATATGACAATACCTGATCTCTAACTACACTGCAGAGTCACAGGAAACAAAAACAACACAGTATTGGCACAAAAACAGATGTATAAACCAATGGAATAGAATACAGGACCCAGAAATAAACACATTGCGGGTACAAGCATATAACCTTTGACAGAGGTATCAAAAAATCCATTAAAAATGGTGAAAGATCTCACTATAAAACTTAACCCTCTAAAACTGCTGGAGGAAACAGGGAAGACACTTCAAGATAAAGACATAAACAAGGACTCTCAGAAAAGAACCTCAATAGCTCAGAAATACTTTTAAGAACTGAAAAATGAAACTTAAGGCTTCTTCATATCTAAGGCAAGAGTAAGCAGGGTGAACAATGACCTAAAGATGGAAAATCTTCAAGAACTCTTTGTCTGGCAAGAGATTAATATCTGATGACCATAAAGAACTCTAGGGGCTGGAGAGATGGCTCAGCGGTTAAGAACACTGGCGGTTCTTGCAGAAGACCCAGGTTCGAATCCCAGCACCCACACGGCAGCTAACAACTGTCTGTAACTCTAGTGCCAGGGGATCCAGCAGCCTCTTCTGACTTCTGCGGACATTGCACGACACAGGAGTACTTACCTACATGCAGGCAATACATCATACACATAAAATAAAAATAAAATACTGAAAAAAAACTCTAAAAACTTGCTGGATGTGATAGTATACACTTTCTGTCCAAGCACTCAGGAAACAGTGACAAATTGATCTCCATGAGCTTGATGTCAGCATGGTCTACACAGAGCTACATAGCGAGATCCTGGCTTATTAAAAAACAAAATAAAAAATTAAGCATCAAAACCCCAAGTCATCCTATCAATAAATGGGCAAAGAACTGAACAGGAAGTCCTCAAAAGAAATACAAATTGCCAGTAAATAAGTGAAAAATGTTGAGCATCTGTAGCTATCAGGGAAATGTAAAATAAAAACACAGAGACATTCCAATCTCACTCCAGTCTTTTTAAATAGCTCCCCTCAAGAAAACAAACAAGAATTCTGATGTGAATGAGGAGGAAGGAAGCCTTGTTCACTCCTGGTTGCAGTCATAAACTGCTGTAGCCAACCAAATCAGTATGAAAGTTCTCCACAAAACAAAAGCAGAGCCAAGCAGCAATGGCTCAGTCTGTGATCCTAACACTCAGAAGGGCTGAGAATTCAAGGCCTGTTTAGACTACAAAGTGATTTCAAGTTCCAACTGGCTGATATGGCTCCCAGAGAGTTGTGAATAACGTCAACAAAGCAAAACCCCTAAAAATAGAACTACTGTATGATTTGGCTGTTCATACCTGAAGGAATCTATGTCAGCATATATCACAGAGATATTGCACATCCATGTACACTGCAGCACTATTCATGATAGTCAAGACAGTGATCAGCCTAGCTCAGCAACAGATGATCTGATAAAGAAAATGTGGCACATATATACACATACAATGGAGTTTTATTCAGTCATAAAGAATGAAATTACATAATTTGCAGGAAAACAGAGCTGGAAATGATCATATTAAGCAAAATAAGTCAGACAAATATCACATTTTCTCTCATATATAAAATCTGGACTAAAAAATATATATGACATAATGGTAGAGATAGTTCTATATGGGCAGAAGGTTGGGGTCTAAATGGAGGGAGGAATGGGTAACGGAAGAGCAATGGGAAGGAACAGACACATAGGACATATTCTCTCTCTTGGAATCCAGATTTAAGAATAATACATTTATGGAGCTTGTGAGATGGCTCAGTAGGTAAAGGCTGCTAAGCCCGACAAACTGAGCTGGATCTCTGGGACCCACGTGATAGAAGGAGAGAACCAAGTCCTGCAGGTTGTCCTCTGGCCTCCACATACACACATGGTATGGGAGCCACACACAATAAATAAATAGACATAATGAAAAGGACTATATATATATATATTTTTTCTTTTCTTTTCTTTTTTTGGGTCTTTTTGAGACAGGGTCTCCCTGTAGCCCCAGCTGGCCTGGATTTGCTATGGAGACCAGGCTGACCTCGAACTCACGGATCTCTGCCTGCCTCTGCCTCCTGAGTGCTGGGACTAAAGGTGTGTACCACCACGCCTGGCTTCTTTTTTTCTTTTTTATGGTTATTGCTACTCTATTCATTTTAGCAAGGAAATGCAACCAATTTAGTTGTCTATCAACAGATGAATGGATAATGAAAATCTGGTACATTTGTAAAATGGAGTATTATTCAGCTCTAAAGAAAAATGAAATCACAAAATCTGAAGGAAAATGGATAGACCTAGACTGTATATTAATGAAGTCACCCAATCTCAGAAAGCAAAAAACTACATGTCTCCTTCATATGTGGATCCTAGGCTATAATGTATACATGTATATGTGTAAACAAATTAATGTGTGGGTATACTGTAAAACGGCACATAATGAGTTCATGTATACTTCGTGTAAATATAAGTCTATCTCAAGATAGAACACATTTTTAATGCGAAATAAGTTCTTATATGGGGAGTATCAACAGGTGATTCTAAAAGATGCTCTTACCTTAGAGGAGAATATGAGTTTTATGACTTTTCACTCTTTGAATAATTCTGTATGCCAAAGGCTTTTTTGTAAGTACTAATAAAATTTAATAAAATTAAAAAAATATACTTCTGTAGATGACTTGAAAGCAGAAGCAGGACTGTTTGGACAGAGGGTGTCCAGCAAGAGGGGAAGATACACAGAGGGTTATAGAGCATCAGTGCTACCAAAGTACAAGGATATATATGCACACAGTGTCATAATGAAACCCATTACTTTGTATACCAAGAAAAATTTAATAATATAATAAATCAGTATATAAATAAGCTAGCCACATGATGACAGAGAAAAGGAAAATACTAGATATAAAGAGCAATGGAAAGATGGATTTTCAGATTAAAAAATACCAAAGACTCTGGGCTTGGTGGTGCACAACTTTAATCCCAGCACTGGGGAAGCAGAGGCAGGCAGATCTCTGGGAGTTCAAGGCCAAGGCCAGCCTAGTCTACTTAGTGAGTTCCGCTAGGGCTACAGGGAGACCCTGTCTCTCAAAAAGACCAAAAAGAAACAACAAACAAACAAACCAAACACACACACCCAAAGATAGCCAGCAAGTCATCAGAAGCTAGAAGAGCAAGGAAGAATTCTCTTAAAGTTTTAAAAGTGTTATATTTTAAGCTTGGTTTGTGGTATATTTTTTGTGGACAGAGTCTTGCTAAGTCCCCCTGGAACTCATTTTGTAGACCAGGCTGTCCTGGATCTCAGAGATCTGCCTGCCTCTGCCTCTGGAGGGCTGGGATTAAAGGCCTGTGCCACCATGCCTGGTTGGTTTGTAGTACTTTGGGATATCAGCCCTGTGAGATGAATATAGTTGGCTCCAGAATGTAGAATTAAAGTTCTTTTGAGAGAGAAAGGAAGGGAAAAAGACAGGTAAAATATCTTTTTATTGTTATGTATCTTCCTGAAGGATGGTTCATTTCTAGGCTAACCATTCTGGTGAGAGTTACTTTTTTGTTTATTGTGTGATTCTACTTTTATAAAATGCTCAGAATAGGCCAGTCTATGGTATTTATGTGTGGGGGTGCATGTGCATGTACCATGGTGCACAAGTGGGTGTTAGGGACAGCTTGTTGAAGTAGAGGAACCATGTGGGATATAGAAATTAAATACAAGTTGGCAGGCTTGGCAGCAAGCACCTTTACCCACTAAGCCATCTCCTGGCCCCAAGTATCAAAGAAATTTAATTTACCTTAAGGGATAATGTAGCTTTAGATAAAAATTCAAAACCTAAAACACATATGCATGCCTTACCGTGGGCTGTGCCTAGTAAGAGCTCAGGTGCCAGGTAGTCTGGGGTTCCTAGAATTCTCCCATCATCTACTGGGGCTGCCCCTCTTCTCACACTCTTTGGAGTTCTGTATGATGTTCCTGACTTGACCTGATTTGGAGTCTGCTAAAAAAGAGTTGAAGAGACAACAAATATCTTGATTCCTTTTACAATGAACAGAAGCACAGATGCAACAAGAACAAAGGGAAAAGATGTCTCTAGGTATAAAAGACACACTCAAGTCCTTGACTGGGATTTGAAAATATTTATACGAGTTATAATTATGAAAGGTCCTTCCTTAATGTAGTAAAATCCAATAGCTCAGATAACATCAATTATTTCAATAAGAAAATTGTTATAAGAGGTGGGAGAGATGGTACAGTGGTTAAAAGAAGTGGCTGCTCTTGTGAAGGGCCTGGGTCTGATTTCCAGCCCTCACATGGTAGCTCAACCAAATAAATCTTAAAAAAAAAGAGAGAGAGAGAGATGGCTAGAAGAGAAAAACTGAGAAATACAAAGGAACACATTTTTTTTCTTTCTTTTTTGACAGTGCTGTCATGTAGCCCAGGCTGACCTTGAACTCACAATTCTCCTGCCTTACCCTCCCGAGTGTTCAGATTACAGGCTTCCACATTCCACCTGAGAAAAGTTTCTTGACAGCTTAGATTAATACAAAGTTTAAGAAAGGCCACAGCTGACAAATGATTGAATTATTAAGACAATGTATAAGAGAAACTAAATATCAATTACTTCATCTACTAAGAGGTATTTCAGAAGTTTTGAGGTAACTGTTGCCTAACCACAACCTTGTGAAGTGAGGAGGACAGGGGCAGCTGGAAAATAGGCTCTGAGGTTAAGGGACATCTAAGCCCTTCTAGGAAACCCCAAATCTCATAAACTAAATTCAGAGTTTATTCTCTTTATGTTATGAATAACATAAATGGAACTTTTTGTTTATAAACATACAGAAAATAAAAACAGTATTTGAATGCTTCAATATTGGGTACTTTAAATATGTTGTTGGACAGGGTCTCCCTGTAGCCCCAGCTAGCCTGGAACTCACTATGTAGACCAGGCCGGCTTTGAACTGACAGATCCACCTGCCTCTGCCTCCTGAGTGCTGGGATTAAAAGATGTGTGCTACCATGCCTGGCCTCAGTTTCATATTTCATGATATTATTGGGATCAGTGAAAACATATATATTCTTAGAAAAACATAATTATCCAACTTTTCTGCATGAAAATTTCTACAAGTCCATAGAACTATAAAATTAATACCATGCAATCTTGCAATACTGTACAAGAATCCATGTTCATAAGCTATTAATCTAAAATTAAAAGAATGAAATATTATAACATACCTGATGTGACATACAGAATCTTCCTTTCTCAGTGGGGGTAACAGCCATGGGATATGAGCCACTGTTTGCACATGAAATATCCATGGCATCTAAGGAAGTAAAGCTCATCTTGGATGGTTCCGAGTTACTGGATGCATTAATATGACTGTTAAAACTCCGAAAAGCTACAGCATTTCTTTTAGAGGTTAATGTCTTTAACACTTTTGAAGGAGCTAACATTTGGTGACTCTCCAGGACAGAATTATGACAGATGTCTTCAATATTTGATTCTTCAAAAGAAGATTCTTTGATGCTTTTATCTGGATCTAAGTCCGACCTTTCCAATGAACTTTCCATTATAGAAATTCCAGGAAAAGATGAATCTGAATCCATACAAACAGTTTTAGGAGCTCTATCATCATCAGAACATATCAAATTAGAACTTAGGTAGTCCTTTTTATTAGTCATTTCACAATCTTCATCTAGTTCAGACATAAGGTTTTTTGCTATCACTGGTATGTGTAATTCTTCTGGGTTTTGTTGCTTATCATTAAAATAAGTGACACTGCTTTTATTAGCACAGTCAGTTTGTTGACTTCTGTATGCTGACAGCTTAAGAGTCTGGACTTCAGCTGTTATGTCTGTATTTTGACCTGTATAGCAACTTATCATTTCATGACCATGCTTATAGTCTATACAGTTTTTTTTATTTTGTATAATGTCCTGACAAGGACTAGAGTCAACCAGTTGAAAATTTCTTTTTATATTTCTTTTCTCAAGGTGTTCTTCAGATATACCACTTGAATTTATAGTCCACTGATCTGCCTGATGGAAACCAGACTGCCTTGTGTCAGTTGTCATGTTTACATTACTTATATCCAGTTCTCTTGTTTCCCAAGAAAGGTCCCCAGAAAAGCACTTTTTAGAAAGGTCCACACAACTGCTTCCAGTGGCAGGAAGGGCACTGCTGTCATGAATGGGAGAAAGAGCCAATTCAAGATCCTTTTTATGGAAACTTTTGGTCTCGACAGTATTTGTAGATTTTGCCAATGTTTCAACTGCATTCCAACTCACCATTGTAGAGCCTGATGATGCCTCATTTTCCTAAAAGGGGGATATGCTACTTTTAGTTATTCAAAGATTAGATACTTTTGCCTTTGAAACTAGGACCACATACATGGCATAAGTAATTCCATGAAGTACTATGCTATCTCTTCTTGTTTTCAAATGGAACAAAAGAGCTTAGATAATGGAATTTAAAAACAATTTTGTATAAGCTCACACATTGTTTTGAATAAAACACTGGGAAATATTTTAAATCAGTTCTGTTCTAATATTTAGATACTATTATTAAATAAGACAAATTAACAAGGAACATGTTCAGATAAGTTTTGGGTAGGGTTATATTACATACATTATGTTTTCCAATAGGGGTATGGTTATTCTGTTTTAAATAGTAAAATGTAAGACCTTAAAATCTAGTCACTGAAAAACTACAGATAAAAAATAGTTACCAAAAACATAAAACCAGAAATTAAAATCCACTGTTGGGGCTGTCGTTGTACCGAAACTACACAAAAACAAATAATGAAAGATAATAAAATTGCCCTGGGTGTAGTGACACACGCCTTTAATCCCAGCCCTTGGCAGACAGAGGTAGGTGGATCACACAAGGCCAGCCTTATCTAGTCACTTTCAGGCAGGCTGAGACTAGGGAGATGCTGTCTAAAAACAACAACAACAAAAAAAAACACAGAGTCTCATTTATTTCAGGCTTGATTTAAAATGACCAAGTAGCCAATGTTGCCCTTGAATTTCTGATCTTCCTGTCTCTCTCTCCTAAGTGCTGGGATTATAGTTGTGTCACCAGGCCCAGTTTATGTGGTATTGGGGTTCAAACCAGGACTTCAGGTATGCTAGGCAAGAACATTACCAACAACTATATCTCCAGCCCAACAAAATGTTCTTCTCTTCTTTAGACATGGTTTCACTGCATAGTCCTGGCTGGCCTGGAACTCACTATGCAGATCAAGCTGGTTTTGAACTCTCAACAGAGATTCACCTGCTTTTGCCTCCTGAGTTGCTGAGATAAGAGGTGTGTGCCACCACACAGGGCTAAAATGCTTTTGTTGAAAACTGAATTGAAGTATCTGTGGATATTTGTTTACTCAGAGCTTTTTTTTTTTCATTTTTGATCTTTTTTAGACAGGGTCTCCCTGTAGTCCCAGCAAGCCTGAACTTTACTATGTAGACCAGAGTGGCCTTGAACTTCCAGAGATCTGCCTACCTCTGCCTCCTGAGTGGTGGTACTAAAGGTGTGCACCACCGTGCTTTGCTATTCAGAGCTTTTTATACATTTCAAATTGGTGCATAGTCACCAGGATTTTAATAAGAATACTCAAGCAGCATAAATCTTCAGCAATCTCTAATACTGCCTTTTTTTTTCCTGGCAGTATTGGGGATTGAATCTAGGGACATGTGAAACAAGTGCTCTATCACTGAGATATAGCCTTAACCCTTAATAGTGTCTATTTTTAATGTACAAAGATCAAATTTTAATAGCTATCATTAACTTATTTAGTAGTAAAGAACACCAGGCCAAAAGAAAATTTCGGAATTAAAATTCACTGTTTTTCTGGTGTAGAAATTGATGAACTTGGGGATCAGTACTGTGTTATCAAATGGTCCCTTTATTCATCTGAGCATAACTTGAAATATGCACTATTATAGCCTTATTATTGCATTTTTTTTCCTTTTGAAACGGTCTCCTTAATTGTCCCATTTGGCCTGGAAATTGCTATATAGACCAGGCCAGCCTCAGTCTTACAGAAATCCACCTGTCTCTGCCTCCCCAGTGCTGGGATTAAAGGTATGAGTCACCATACCTGGCTGCATTTCTTGGGGATGTCAAAATGAGTGGGAAGAAGGTAAAGGTATGAATATGCTGAAATAGTAATACAATATACTTTCTAGAATATGAAATAATAGTTCTGGGAATAGGAGTCTTGTTTATTGTACTGTATATATTATCTACAGCAACGCTTAAGAAGAGAGAAGAAACAAAAGGTCCAGATAGCCTATTTGATCTCAAAGTTAGTTGGAGGGGCTAGATACCTGGCTCAGAGGAAGCCACCTTCCCTAAAGGCTAGTTCTCATAGCTTTGTAGAGCACTATGCAAGCTGGTAAGAGAGAATATCTGTCATCCAACCCTAGCTTCAAGGCCTAAAAACCACATCAATGACCAGCACAGCAAATGACACTGGATTAGCAGTGGCACTTTTATCTTGGGGGTAATCAATAGTTGCCAAATTGAACTTAAAGCACACTCAATGGAGGAAACTCATGTCTGGTACTGTAAACCTAGACAAATATCTATACAGCTGGAGAGATTATAGATCTTAGAGAAAACCCCAACAATCTCATATCCTTAGACAAATATAATTTCTTACTATGTGCAAAATATGGATCCTGAAATTTACAGACAAGTATCCCAGTTACCACCCATCAAAGTAGCTTCTTTTTCAACAGACATTATTACAGAGTTACACCACTGGTCACATAGAGATTCTCTGTGAATTGCCCAAGCCCAAGTGGCACATCTAAGATGCAACCTCTACACCTGAGACTCACAGAACACAGAACAAGGGATGAAGAAAACACTAATGCATCTTTCAGTTTTCATCAATGAAACTCCCTCATGCAACATAGGGCCAGGAGCACAAAAGGCCACAAATGGCCAAAATGCAGAGAATATGAGTTGGCAGATCTTGGACAGGTCTCCTATATTGAGGTCCACCCACTTAAGGCTCAAGGACCATTGCAGAAGAGAGGGCACAAAGATTGTAAGAGCCAGGGAGGAGGTGCATGACCACATGGAAACAGTCCTATGGGCACCTGGGACCCTTCTCATACAAACCTACAGCAATGGTGTCAGCATGCACAAGACCCATGCAAACTTGGGCAGACAAAAACCCAGCACAGAACTGTGGAAATGAACAGCAAGCCCCAATCTTAGTTGAAAAATTATTGGCAGCTGATTACTGCTGGGTGAGGAAGAGCTGATCTTGAGAGACTCTAGATAGGCTGACTAAACCCTGGTGAATGAACTTGCACTGAGGGACATCTCAGGACAGTAACTTTAAATTAATAGGCCTTAATACAAATGACAGAATGTATGAACTCTAGTGGGGGGGCTATTGAGGGTGCCTTGGGGGTTTTCTCTAAGACTAAGATCTAAGACTTCTCCAGCCATGTGTATTTGGCTATGTTTACAGTACCACACATGAGTTTCCTCCCATTGAGTCGGCTTTAAGTACAGTTAGGTAGCTGTTGATTACCGCCCCCCCCCCCAGATAAAAGTGCCACTAATGCACTCTTATATTAACCTCCATCCACCCAGGACTCAGGGACCATTGTAGAAGAGGGGGCAGAAAGATTGTAAGAGCCAGGGAGGAGGTACACGACCATATGGAAATAGGAATCCTACAAGCTCCTGGGACCTTGCTCATATGAACCATGAACCTACAGCAATGGTGTCAGCATACACAAGACTTATGGAAACTCAAGCAGACAAAAGCCCAGCACAGGCCTGTGGAAATGGATGACAAATTGGCAGCTGATTACTGTTAGGTGAGGAAGAGCTGGTCTTCTTAAAGGGAGGCTGCCTAGACCCCAGTGGATGAACTTGCACTGAGGGACATCTGGGGACACTAACTTGACTTGATAGGCCTTTAACACAAATGTCAGAATGTATGACTTCCAGTGGGGTAGGGGGGCTATGGGAGGGTGCCAGAGGGGAAGGGGGTATAAAAATGACTGATTAATATAATATGTTCTGTATGAGGGGCATGGTGGTGCATGCCTTTAATCCCAGCACTTGGGAGGCAGAGGAAGGCAGATCTCTGTGAGTTCAAGGCCAGCCTGGTCTTCATAGAGAGTTCCAGGCCAGCTACGGCTGTAGGGAGACTCCTATCTCAAAAAGACTATAAAATATTGATAAAAATTTTATTAAACTATTTTTTTAAATTAAAGGTTGAGTGGTGGCCCACAGCTTTAATCCCAGCACCCTGGAGAGCTCTATGAGATTGAGGTCAGCCTGGTCTACATAGTAAGTTCCAGACCAGGGCTACTGGGAGACCGTGTCTCAAAAAAAGAGGGGGGAGGTGGTTGTGGAGAGATGGCTCAGCAGTTAAGAGCACTGGCTGCTCTTGCAGAGGATTGGGGTCCAGTTCCCAGTACCCACATGGTAGCCAACAACATACAAACTCCAGTTCTAAGGGATCCAATGCCCTCTCTGGCCTCCCAGGGCATTGCACACATGTGGTACACTTGTGTACATATAGGTGAAACACTCATACACATAAAAATAAGTGAATTTAAAAAAAAACATAAAAGAAAAGTTAGTTTGATCTTGCTTATAAAAACACAAGTATCCAACAACAAAGAAAGTAAAACAAATGCAATGTAATTTATTTGATCAAATGAGTTTACTTTATCGACATTCTATGGGGGAACACTTAACTATAATTTTACATTTTAGTTCCTATCACCTTTTGTACTCATTAGCATTAATAACTGTTAAGAAAAAGAAAAACCAGAATGTATAAGTAAATTAAGTAATATAATTTAAAGTATATCCATTTACTTGGCAATCTCCCCAGAAAGAACACTTTAAAGGAAACATCCATATTAACTTTACGGTCTAAAAGCTTTATCTGAAGACTTACCATTCCATTAAATGAGAAGCTGGTGGGAAACAGTAAAGAGGCAGGTCATATGAGTTATAAAGTTATGTAGGTCAAAAGAACAACAAAAATCCCTCAATAATCCAATGTTTTCATCATGGGAGGAAATACAACAAAAATCCCTCAATCATCCAATGTTTTCATCATGGGAGGAAATCAGAATGCTTAGAAGACAAACATTTTCTATAGGCTTAACAAAATTATTTAATTACTCATTTTACATTAAACAAGATCAATTTCACAACAGAATGAAAAATGAAATATTTCTAAAGAATTTGACAGAATATCCAAGAAAATGAAGAATTTTTATAATACTTCAATTATTATGCATGTAACATTTTTTTAGGTTTTATATGGAAAGGTATGATGTTTCTATCATCAATTTTACATGCATTTTAATTTTGATTAAAATAAACTTCCTTCTAACCTGGCAGTCCTTTTCCCATTTGGGACTGCTGTGGCATTCTGATTCCATACTGGACACGATGGTGTGGGACTGACTACTGGTACTGGATGTCCCCAGTCTTTCCCTACACTGCAGTAAATTAGAAGTCAGACATTTCACAGGTACTTCTGGCTTAGATTCAAGTTTTTTGAGACCTGTAGGAAAAAGACAAATTTTGAAGCTCATTTGTCACAGCTTAGTTCTTGAACTAAGTTCTTGAACCTGAATCTTTCCAGATCATTGCATTAAATGTTACATATCACAACTATGTGTTCATAAACATTATCTTGTCCACAAGGATGGCTGTGTTACTCACATGATTCTTCCTGTGCTTAGATTCATAAATTCTTCCAAACGTAGGCAATGCCCCAAGGTTTATTAACGAAACAAACCCCCTTAACATTTAAGTAAAAACTAGGACAAGAGAATTAAAATACAATGAGAAGGAAATCTGTTTTTAGCTATGTATGATATATTTTATAGTTACTATTGGTAATGGAGCATTACTGATATGCATTGAAGTATATTATCTAGATATGTTATAAGGTTAGAATGTGACTAAATTTACTCAGCTCAACCTCAGCTAATGTTTAATTAAAACTACAGTTTTACTGGAGATGTTAAACTTTTAATTATAGGAAGCCATAGATTTTTCTTTTTTTCTTTTCTTTTTTTTTGCAGTGCTTGGGATTGAACCCATCTATGGCTGTATGCATATATGGCAAAAACTACCAATGAACCACACACCTATCCCTTCTAGATGGGATTTTCTTATTATAGTTGGATAAGCCAAATAATAAAAAATTGCCTAATACTATAGTTGGATAAGTCAAATAATAAAAAATTGCCTAATACTAAGCTATTGCAGCGAAGCAGTTCTATTTAGAGGTACCTGGTCCTTTCTCATATACAAATATTGCTAAAAATGGTTGCTCCTTAGTTTTACATGTTCTGTGTGTATATGTACATGTTGGGTATGCATGTACATCTGTGCATGTGAGCATAGAGGTCAGAGGTCAACCTTGGGTGTGGTTTCTTAGGTTCTATTCACTTTGTTTTTTTGAGAAAGAGTTTCTCATTGGGCTTGAGTTTGTCAGTAGGCTAGGCTAGCTGACTAGTGAGCCACAGGGACCTCTGTCTTTCCCTCCTCAGTGATGGAATTACAAGAGTGTACCACTATGCTTGGCTTTTCCACATGGGTTCTAGGAAGTGAGCTAAGGTACTTACACTTATATAGCAAGTACTTCACCAAATGACCTATCTCCTTAGCCCCTCTTTAAGTTTTAATTACACACAGACAATTGTGATTTTACTGGATGCTGTAAGGATGCAAAGATTTTATACATATATAAAAAGATGCAAATGTTTTTTTGTTTTCATTACCCAAAAGGATGATGTCTCAAGAAAATTCTTAGTCTTAAAGTTTATAATCTGGCATTAGAATTTTAAAACCAGGAGGGTAATTTCAAAGTCCATTTATCCAACTTTCTTCTTCATACATACACCCTCTTTTTTAGGGGGGTCTTTTTGAGACAGGGTCTCCCTGTAGTCACAGCTGACCTGAATTCCCTATGGAGACCAGGCTGGCCTTGAACTTAGAGATCTACCTGCCTCTGCCTCCCAATTGTTGAGATTAAAGGTGTGCCCCACCATGTTCTGCTATACATCCTCTTAATAAAAGTCCTAAAGCTCACTGGACACTGACTTCACTCTATGACTGAACTGCTTAGCTGTCCTCCCAAAATCACAGAGGAACTGGTGTTAAATTTAATGCCATGTGCATGCTGTATATTTGCTAACAAGTAGTTTCTTGATCACTGTTATGATCAGGTTCTTCCCCACTGGGAAACTTGGATACCTTTTTTCTTTTTCTGCTCTTTTTGAGACAGGGTCTCCCTGTAGCTCTGCTGGCCTCACTATGTAGACCAGGCTGGCCTTGAACTCATAGAGCTCCACCTGCCTCTGCCTCCCGAGTAGTGGGACTAAAGGTGTGTGCCACCATGCCTGGCCTCAGTCATAGAATTTTTCCTTGTATGTTTTTTAAGATAGGGTCTCATTAGAGTCCAGACTGGCTTCAAACTTACAATCCTGATTCAGCCTCCTAACTGTTGGGATTACAGAAGAAACAAGATTCATTACATGTGAAGGAAAAGAAAAAGAAAAATTAGCAGACACAGAATTCTATTTCGAATCAAGACTTAAGCTTACCCACTCACTACTGTGAAACTTAGTATTTCCAAATATTAGTTTTCTCTTTTGTGAAAAGGAGATAATGCTGTACAGGTCCTAAAATATGTATAGCTTAGTTGAGGACCAAAGTCAAAACAAGCCAAAGTTTTACATTGAAATTACCTCAACCTTTTTGAAAATAAGTTTGTAAAGGTATACAACATTGCGGTTACTATATCTTGTTTATATAAGATTTCCAGGGACCTAGTATAGTGAAATTCCCCAATGATCATTCCATTAAAGATTAACTGAAGGCTATCTCATTAGCAAGACAGCTTACTCTGAACTTAAAAATCAACCGCAATTGGGGTCTGGAGAGAAGGCTCAGTGGTTAAGCATATTTACTGCTCTTCCAGAGGACCTGGGTTGGCTCCCAGCACCCACATGGCCATGGCTGCTAAGACCTGTCCTTAACTCTAGTCCCAGGGGATCGAATGCCCTCTTCTAGCCTTTGCAGACACTATGCAGGCATGTGGTGCACTTACATATATACAGGCAAAATACACATAAAAATACATAGCCGGGCGTGGTGGCACACGGGTTTAGTCCTTGCACTGCAGGAGGATTTCTCTGAGTTGAAGGCCATCCTGGTCTGCATAGTGAGTTCCAGGCCAGCTGGGGCTACAGGGAGACCCTGTCTCAAAAACGACCAAAAAAAAAAAAAAAAAAGAAAAATAAAAATCCATTGCACTTGTCAGAAATGGCATTTATGTAATGAAACATAGGAATGCCACAGACTGGCCAAATATTTGTATTTTAAAACTGTTATATTTATTGATTGATACAGTGTTTTACTGTGTAGCCCTGGCTGGTCTAGAACTTGCTATATGGACCAGACTGGACTTGAACTTATCTGCCTATCTCTGTCTCCTGAGTGTTGGATTAATGGCATGTGCTACTACTATACCTGGCTTTGCATTTTTGCTATTAGGAATTTAAAATGTTAGAACATTTTGTATCAAGGTGCACACTTAATGGAATAAATACCCTTTATACTCACGTGGTTTTAGCTGCTTGTTAGAATAAGTAAGCTCCTTTTCATCTATGGACATAGGACACATTAACCCGTGAGCAAGCTGTGGTTCAGACTGACAGGTTGACAAGACATTTGTAGAATCTTTGTCTTTTTCTGCAACTGGTGTGAACTATTAAAAAGCAAATATTATTTTAGGGCCAGTCAGCTGGCTCAGTGGTCAAAGGCCCCAGCCATGAACCTCGATGACCTGAGTTCAATCCCTTGTTCTCCTACACAGTTGAAGGGAAGAACTTACTCCTGCAAATTGTCCTCCACCTCCACTTGTGCACACACATTAAATTTAAAAATTAATAAATTTTTTTTGGTCTTTTTGAGACAGGGTCTCCCTGTAGCCCCAAGTGGTCTAGAACTCACTATGTGGAGCAGGCTGGCCTTGAACACATAGAGATCCACCTGCTTTTGTCTCCCGAGTGCTGGGACTAAAGGCGTGTACCACCATGTCCAGCTAAAAACTAATAAAAGATAAGAAATAAAAAAGAGGGCTGGAGAGATGGCTCAGTGGTTAAGAACACTGACTGTTCTTGCAGAAGACCCGGGTTCAAATCCCAGCACCCACATGGCAGCTAACGACTGTCTGTAACTCCAGTCCCAGGGGATCTGACAGCCTCTTCTGACCTCCGCAGGCATTGCATGACACGGGTGCACTTACCCACAGGCAGGCAATACATGCATACACATAAATTAAAAATAATAAAATTTTTTAAAAAAATATAAAAAGAAGGGGCTGAAGAGTTAGCTCAGCAGTTAAGAGCAGTGGCTGCTCAGCAGAGGACCTGGGTTCGATTTCTAACATCCACATGGCAGCTAACAACTGTCCTAACCTCAGTTCCAGGGGATGAAGAGATGGTTCAGTGGTTAGAGCGTTTTCTTGTAGAAGACCTGGGTTCGATTCTCAGCATCCACATGGCAGCTAGCAACAGTGTATATATATAATTCTAGTTCTAGGGGATCCGACACCCTCTTCTGACTTCTGCTGGCCCTGCATGACACAGGTGCTCTTACATACATACAGGCAATACACTCATACACATAAAATAAAATATTAAAAAGAGAAAAGTACTACTTAAGAATATAGATACTACTGGGTATGGTGGTGCATGCTGTTGATCCCAGCAATTGGGAGGCAGAGGCAGGTGGATCTCTGTGAGTTTGAGGCCTGGTCTACAAACTGAGTTCCAGGTCAGTTGGGGCTACGAGGAGACTTTCTCAAAAATGAAAACAAACAAAAAACAAAGAAAAGAATACAGATACTATACCATCTGAGCACACAAACTGTTAAAAGTAATGCCACCTCATGCTTGATATTTAAATCTATTTTCATATTTTTATTTTTTTTATTTTATGTGTATGCGTGTATTGCCTGCATGTAGGTAAGTGCACCCGTGTCATGCAATGCCCGTGGAGGCCAGAAGAGGCTGTTGGATCCCCTGGGACTGGAGTTATGGATAGTTGTTAGCTGCCATGTGGGCACTGGGATTTGATTTTCATATTTTTAAAAGCAGGTTTAATATTTTATTTTATTTTATATTTTTGGTCTTTTTGAGACAGGGTCTCTCTGTAGCCCCAGCTGTCCTGGAACTCACTATGTAGACCAGGGTGGCCTTGAACTCAGAGATCACCTGCCTCTGACTCCCGAGAGCTGGGATTAAAGGCATGTGCCACCACGCCCGGCTGAGGCTTAATATTTTAAATGGTAAGCATGTGAATGGTATGTCATATGAATTTTCCCTATGAAGTACTTACAAATCCCAAAGAACTGATGAGAGATAATACTTGTCCTGGTGTTCGTGAATAATCTTGCCTAGGTTTAGCCATTGATGGTGTTGTCAGGATGTCCATCATATTGATATCTAGAGATGCAGGGATATGAAAGGATATGAATTTATTTAAAACCTCTACTTATCACTAAATCAATAATCACATAATTTGAACTTTGCCCTTTTCCATATTATTAACTTTACCTACAAAATTGTCTGCTGTAGGAAAAATATATTCAGGGAATCTTCTGTGCCAAAGAGGCAACATTTACAACTAATTGAAATTATTAAAATGTTTGTGGGGTGGAGATATAGCTCAGTGATAGAGGGCTTGCCCAGCACTCAATCCCTAGTACTGAAGACAAAGGAAAGTTTCACAGAACAGCTCTGCTGTTGAATGGGTAGAATATAGCTAAATAAGCAGGAATGCTATCAGCTTTTTAAGGAAGCACTCAGTTATTACTCATCAGTTGCCTTTATGCAGGCAGCTGCCATTGCTCTTTGGCTGTCTACAAGGACTAGATTGTAAGGCCTCATTATGAATTGACTATACACTGCATGATAAAGCATGCTGTAACTGGGCTGGGAGCTTCCTCCCTGGCAGCTAGCCCTCATAGTACTAGAAGGTGATATGAGGCTTCTGGGGTAAAACTGTCTCTTACCCAACTGTGGACCCCATATGCAACACTACTGACAGGCCAGGGAAGATAATACATCCACAGGTGCAATAGTCATAACTAACCATTCTTTGAATGGTTTTGAGCCCTGTTCCATGGCAGAGAATCCTTGTTTGGTACTGTAAACCTGGTCAAAAGCCTGTGCCTGGGGATGTCAAAGGCCCTGGGGGAAAGCCACCACTGTTTTTTTGCCAAATGGACATGATGTGCCTATCAGATTGCCTTTAAAATAACTATGTTCATACCCACAGATGATTGCTATTGTCAGCTTTGGGTATAGACACTTATTTTTGCAGAGGGCAGAGGCTCATAACTGGTAAAAGTGATGAGGATAAGTGACAGTTGAATGCTTAGCCACAAATAGGGCACTGACATCATCCCCTCCAAGGCTCAGGGAACATCACAGAAGGGGCTGAAAGCATGCTCGAGTTGGAGGAAGGAGTAGGATTGATGTGGAATGCTGACTCCTAGGAATGGCATGGCTGTAGTACTTTTATTTTTTAAAAACAATTTCTTGAGAATTTCATACAGGCATATAAGCATATAAAGTGTTTTGATCAAATCCATGCCCACTCCCTCCCCTCCAACCCCTTCCATATCTCCCCATCACTTTTTTTTTTTCTGATAACTTCATGTACTTGTTCTTCTTTTTGCTACTCTAACATTCCTCCCTCTGAAGAGGTAACCCTAACATCATTCAAGGATTAGATAAGAGCTCCCAAATACTTTTGACATTTTTGGCCTTTGGAACACAGTATGTTGTTAAGAGGCCCAAGGACATTTTGACTTTTAGCCAAGAAACTGGCTACTTTTCTTTGTGGTCTTTTTACACTAACTGCCTAGCCAATTCCTACTTCCTATTCTTAGCACACCATCCTCTAAAGAGGTTATCCAGTTTGCAGACAGGGAATTGCTCTGGCTTCTTCCATGCTGAATAGGGATGCAGGGTGAGGCAGCTGGGGTACCCCTTCAGTGGGTCTATCTAAAAGACTCCCAGATTGCATAACTCTTATCTGTAGGGGGAAAAGAAAGTCCTTGACTGCTGAATAGAAGATGTGAAGGAGAAGTAAAGGCAAGAGTAATTAGCATTACAAATTTTAGACAGGGAACTAGAAAAAAGAACAGGACAAATTTCAAATGTTCATGAGAGTCCATTGGAATGCACTTTTTTATTTAAAAAAATTTTGTTTAATGTCATGTGTATGAGTGCTTTGCCTGCATGTATGTTAAGTACCTCAGGGTAAAGTTGTTGGATGTCCTAGAACTGGAGTTATGGATGGTGGTTCGCCACTGTGTGGGTACTGGGAACTGAAACCAGGTCCTCTGCAAAAGCAGCTAGTGCTGTTAACTGCTGAGGCATCTCTCCAGCCCTCATACCACTGCTGTTTTTTTTTTTTTAAGACTTTTATTATTTTTTTATGTGTATGTGTGTGTATGTGTGTGAATGCACGGCACATGTCTGTAGGTACCCAGAGAAGACAGAGGAGGGTGTCAGAGTCCATGGAGCTGGAGTTACTGGACATGAGTCTTGGGAACCAAATACAGGTCCTCTAGAAGAATAACAGATGCTCCTAATCACTGAGCCATCTCTTTAATCTTGGCTGTAGCATTCCTGAACTCATACCAGCTCTGGTTACCTGTACAAGATCGGCACCAACATCCTGTCACAGAGTGGAGAGGAGTTTATGAGGTTTCACCCCTCTTTGAGGATTTATGTGTGATTAATGGTTGCTTGGATGGGAGAGATATTTCCTTCAGTGGTGTAGCCACTGGTAAGGTGCCAATGCCTCTGTAAACAACCCTATTGTAACTAATTGGACCATCTAAGAAAACACAAAAGGCATGAAAGCGTTAGAGGGACTAGTTGTGAAAAGAAAGGACATCAGAAGGAGTGGAAGCAGGTTGAGAGAATAGAGGACATGTGTGACTATGATCAAAATACATTACAGACATCTATGGGGGAAAAAAACACTGTTATCTACTGAACCTATGAGACTCTGGTAGGGTGTGGTGGTACATGCCTTTAGTCCCAGCACTGGGAAGCAGAGACAGACAGAGCTGTTTTTGAGGTCAGCCTGGTCTATATAGTGAGTTCCAGGCCTGTGAAAGGCAACCTAGTGAAACCTTGTCTTTAAAAAAAAAAATGATCACACACAACTTGAAATTTAGCAAGGAAACAACTTCTAGTATAAACATAGTCCAATTACAGGTCCCTTATATTCACTAATAGTTTAAACCTAAATCAAGACAGAAATTGAGTTACATTACTAGCAGGTTTCAATATATAATGTTTTAAATGAATTCAACATTGAACATAACACTTTATTATTTTACTTAAGTCTTTTGTATGGTATAGGTCTTTAGAAAGAATATTTGACCTTTAATCTCAGTGCTTGGAGGCTGAGGCAGGAACACTGCTGTGACTCAAGGCTAACCTGTGCTACCAAGTGAGACTGTCTTAAAATGAAACAAAAACATCATTACACTTGAAATTTGAACTTACTTCAGTCTCATTTGTTTCACATTGCTGAAGCACTAAAGCAAAAGAATAACCTTACATATTACTAATAAAACTAAAAAAGTTATACCTTGCACTGTGATTAAAAATGACTTAAATTTACCAAGAATTTCATCCTAAAACAATTTTCCAGTAAGTATTATGAAATTTTAGGAGTTAGATTTGCTTCTCAATTAAAAAATGTTTAGATCTGTAAGAAAGCTAATGTGGTAAGCACTGTATTATAAAGCATCCCTAGAGACCTCTCACATAGTCTATAATCGAATATTACTACTGAGGAAAAAAATGTGTGAAAAGTCACATGAAGTGGGATTAAGAAAATTATAAATAGTCTCAAATCAGCTCAGGCAAATTTTTACCAAATTTAGGAATAACTGTAGACTTGTATATATTTTCAAATAAATATAATTTCAGAGTTTATAATTTTTAGGTTTAATTTCACATTACTTTTCATTTATTAAAAAAAGAAAAAAACCCTTTGAAAAAGCTGAGTGTGGTGGCACATGCCTGTATTCCAGTGCTCAGGAAGCAGAGGCAGGAGGACTGTCACAAATTTAAAGCTAGCCAGGTCTACATAGTGAATTCCAGGCTAGTCAGGGATATAGAACAAGATCCTGTCTCAAAAATCCAAAAATAAAGGCCAGTGAGATTGCTCAGCAGGTAATGGCACTTGCCTGGTGGCCTGAGTTTCATCCTTGGAACCAGTGTAATAGTGGAAGAACAGAACCGATTTGAAAAGTTGTCCTCTGACCTCCACATATGCGTCATGGCATGTGCCTCCCCCCGTGACACCCCCCCCACACTCACACCCACACCCAACAATAATAAATTAAAAAAAACCCCAAAAACAAAACCAAAAATTTCTGCCTGTCCATCTTTTCATCCTGGGTTGTGTCTGCGTTGCTGGAGAGCAAAGCTAGGGCCCGCATACACCAAGCAAGCACACTACCAGGAGCTGTGCTCCTAGCACACTTTTGTTTTAACCCTTTTTTAAACTTTTAGGTTAGCATACAAAGTAATGGATTTCATCATGGCATCTTCATATTTCTTATCACTACACTTTATTCTGATCTCCCCCACCACCCGCATCCCTTTCTCACACTCTGCCATGCTTTCTCCCCCTCCTCTGTAAGAGCAGTTGACTGCTGAGCCATCTCTCCAGTCCCCCTTCCACACTTCTTAAAAATCTACTGTTTCCAAGTTGATAATTTATTGCTTTTCTATGATTCTATGATGAATCTGAGTCATTTCTTGTTCCAATTTACTAGACAATGCTGCTACAGATAATTTTTCACATATATTTTGTTCTCTAAACCACTACCTTAGAATAAATTCTGAAACATAAGATCAATGTGCTAGGGATGTAGCTCAGTGTTAAAATGCTTGCCCAGTACACCAAAGGCCTTCGGTTCAGTCTCCAGTATTGAGAAATCGGAACCCGAAACAGTTCCAGCAGGATAAAAAGAAGGATAGAACTTGTGACCTCCATTTTAGTGATCTAAGGATTTGAAGGACCTTTGAAGGTCTAAGAATGATTTTTATCGGTGCTGTGGATTAGACTTAGCTAAGTAAACATTCTGTTACTATATTCTTAAATCCTAATTTTTAAAAAATTAAAATTTTTTTTCTTTTAAATTAAAAAAATTTTAATAACCACATGATTAGAAGAAGCATTTCATTACAGCTTTAACATATTCAGTAACACACTCCAGAGCAAGGATACATCTCTTTCAAAAGTGGCTGTAAATTTTTAGGTTCACAGTTGAATTAATACAGTTATACAATATTGAACTCAGTATAAATCCTATAAGACATAAAATT